CTCTGGTAAACCATTCAAGGTTGGAAACACCAGATCCTCATCGTCAGCTTTTGCAGAGGCTAAAGCCAGTTGATCTGAAATTTCTTTGATTTGAGACAGATAAAATTCCATTAAAGATGATTTCTTGCAGAGTGTTTGGAGTTTGGTTTTAAGTTGATGAATATAAGAACGTGGTACAGAAGTAAACCACTTCTCCAAAAACTACCATACCTAATCACTGTGATGAAGATGTAGAAAAGAAGAACAAATGGATGATGATAGAGTTGTAGTCAGACAAGTGAGCAAATGTGCATCAATCAATTGCCACTTTGCATAAACTGGATTTGGAATGGATTTTCCAGATGCATCAATGATCTCTGGAGATGGACATGGATTTGATCCATTTACATAATCAAGAAATCCAGTTGCTCTAAGCACATTTGTCATCTGTGTCTTCATATGAGAAAATTGTTTGATTCAAGCTTCACTGTGATGAGAGAATTGAAGTTTGAAATCATCTGGTCGAGCTTGGGTTGGCAACCTCGGGTTATAATTCGGGCCTGGGCAAGTCTCAGCACAACTTGGGCTGAGCTTGGACAACCTCTTAACCCAACCAAACCGGTCCGAGTTGTACTCCTATAATGGGTACATACCAAATTATGTTTTGATATGTACATATATATATACATAAATCAAATATGATGTGACATTTTTTATTATTATTGTTGAATATATCCAACAGGCAGCCCTCTCTCTCTCTCTCTCCACCTATAGAGGGAAATTTGAATTTGCAATAGTGAAATTTTTTGAAAACCAAATACATATCTATTTTCAAACATAGTTTTCAAATCATTTTTTTGAAAAATAATTCAAAAAAAGTGAAACCAAACATGATGATTTTTTTTTTTTTCATGAGTAAATTTCACAAATAGTCTATGTAGTGTAACCCAAATTTCAATTTGATCCTTATTATTTCAATTTGCTCTCCAAATTTTTTCATGTTGTATCAATTAAGGACGAGAAATTTTTGTATGCCAATAGGGTACCACGTGGCAATACCTTCCATCAATCATAAATGTATATACTCCCTATTGTTCCCTAAACACCTAACATAAATGTAGTAGACCCTACTATTAAAGCCAATCACAATAGTAAAAGGTACCACATGACATATATCCTATCCGCATATAAAAATTACTCATTAAGGACAATCAATAATGGCCAATCAAACTCTAGACAAAAAATGATCCCATGCATGGAAGTGACCAATTCGCAAGGGCATAACTAGGGGTGTAAATTTGGCTTGGTCGGGCCTGGCCCATGTCGGGCCTCGCGGGCTCCCGTCAAAATTTGGGTCAGGTTACGAGCCAGAAAATTAGGCCTTGGCCTAGGAGGTAATCGGGCCTTGGATAGACTGAGCCAGTGGGCCTAAGCTCGGGCTTGGGTGGGCCTAAACAATTTTTTTTTTTTTTTGTTATTTTTTCAACCAAAATTTTATTATTTTCCACTAAAAAAAGACACTGGGCCTCAGCGCGGGCAAGCCGGGTTGGGCCTCGGGTCGGGCCTTGAGTGAGTCTTAAGCGGGTCAGGCCTACGGGCTAGGCAGAGCTTCAAAATGATGGCTCAGGCCCAAGCCTAGGGTCTTAGGCTGGGCTCGGGCTCAAGACCAAAAGGGCTTAAACAGGTTGGGCCCACCCCGGGCCATGGGCGGGTTTTGAGTTGCCTATAGGCCACGAGCCATTTTTACACTCCTAGGCATAATAGTCAGTTTATCACCTTAATCTCTTTATCTTAACAAATAAAAAATGTCCATCTTGTCCAAACCATGTACTTCACCACACTAAATCATTCCTTCCACAGTGGACATTGTTGGACAAGATGGACATTTTTTAACTGAGAAAGAGTCATTTTTTAACCATGTTTCATTTTTCTCTCCCCACCACAACCACAACCACCCCTTCATCATCCATGGCCGACTAGCTTCTCCTCCTTGTCCAGCAACCACCCACCTTATGGTCGACCATCTCATCCTCTTCTTAGCCAATGACTGCACACCTCCTTCATGGCCGACCACCCTCTCATTCTTCTTGGCCATCGACCACCACTTCTTCCTTAGCCAACAACTACCCACTGCCTCCCTCAATGCAACACCATACCACCATCCTACCTCTCCTCCACCACCCACCAACCAGCCTAAAACATCTGCCACCCACCAACACCATAGACTACCACATCTTTACACACATGAACATGATCACCCCTGAAACCCCTTTCCACTGCCCTCCAAACCGCTACTACCAATCAACCAATGATCATAACAAACAACTACCAATCGCTATCTCATATCCCCTTCCCTAGCTACCACCACCTCCTCATTTCCATGTCCCTATCCCCTTAGCATCACCACCACTACGACATTGAACCATAACCATCAAACAAAACCAAACCCACAAGATGTAACCAATAAAAAAGCCTCTAACATAATCAATTTTGTGACAAATAAATAAGTTTATGGCATAATCAACTTTAGACAGCCGACTCCATTTGATGAGACTTAAAAGGCTAGTCTTGGTTTGGTTCGGGTCGACTTAGTTTATAATCAACTTTAGGCAGACACCCAACTCTATATTCAAGATATGTGAAGCTACTGGAGATAGGAAACTTACTCATCAATAAAGATTTTAATTTTATCATGGGAATGGAAGATTAGTTCTTCACACCCAAATTTCCAATGAAATTACCGCAATAACTAAGCTCGTCATCTTCCCTCACTAAGAATGGAAGAAAAGATTAAGTAGGAGATTAATAATTTCATTTTTTCTTTCTCCTTATGGAAGAAAAGATTAAGTAGGAGATTAATAATTTCATTTTTTCTTTCTCCTTTTAAGATATTTCTCAACAATTGAAGGGAGATTCAGAAGAATTATACGTAAGCTTGGGGGTGTTGGCTTCGGTGCTGGTGACCAGACCATATGTAAATCCTAAACCCTAGCCCAATCTTGCAAGCATTATTAGCTCTAGAGTTGAAGTGATGAGAGAGAGAGAGAGAGAGAGAGAGAGAGAGAGAGAGAGAGAGAGTTGAAATGAGATTCAGATTGTTGGGGGGTGAGTGGTGAGGAATATGGGTTTGTTTGGCAAGAAGGTTTGGGTTAAGTTGGAGCTATTTTAGCCACACAAAAAAATATATATATATGTTTTTTAGCCTAATAAGACAAAATGTCATATCCAAACTATAATCATTTATTTTTTCTCTCACAAATGTCAAAAAAGCCAAAAAGTCCATCCCAAACGAGGCTTTTTAGCCCAGGCTAAAATAACAAAAAAGCTAACCCACATTCCAAACGAAGGCAAAGAGATGTAAAAAGGTCTTACACTCCATTTGGATAGACTGATTTGGCTAGAAAAAAGAAAAGAAATGTAGAGAAAATTTTAGTTTATGAATTTGGAGAAATTTTGAAAAAGGATACGAGAAATGCTTGTCTTATAATTGGGGGTTATTCGTATTTAAATAGAAAATTATTAAAATAGGTACTACGATGTGTCTTGATCGGGGCACATCACTTAAAAAAGATTTGTATTTTAAAATCAGAAAGCCACGAATCATCTTCGTTTAGTGCAGAGCGTCACTGCTAAACTAAGGTTGATCACAACCCGTCTTACTAGGTATGACTTGTCTAACAATTTTATTACACACGTATGAAAGTCATTTGTATAATGTGTGTTCATGACCAGTGAACACATGTTTTGATAAAATAATATTTGCATAAAAATCTAAGTTATATAACAGTAGCCAAATTAATTAAAATTTTATAAAACTAAATACATATTATCTCAATCACTTGATTAGAGTTTCATCTTGACTCTAAGATTAGAAAATTAGTTCCACATAATTGTGGAACTATCATTCTACAAAAGAAACACTCTACACTCTCTCACTAATTTTTCTTCCCAACTCTCTTGCTGTCCTCTTCCTCCTCCGTAGGTCCATGCCTCACCCGAGCTCCTCAATTTATAGAATTGCAAAACAAAAGCAAATAATAAAATAAACAATAATTAAATGAAAGTTGGTGGACCAACTTGCTTTCTCTCTTTTTTTTTTTTCTTTTTATTATTAATAATGGTATTGGATTTATTATTTTTATTTTATAATATAATATAAAAATATATTATTTATAACAATTTATGTACAAACATTCAAAATATACATAAATATACAAAATCACAGAAAACTATAAAATAATACAAATAAATAGACTAAGAAAGTGTATATTGATAGATTAAATATGTAACATTTAGACACCGATCAATACATGCCACTTATATATGCATTTTCTATGTAAAAAAAATACTAATAATTGTAATCAATTAAATCAAATTGAGACAAAATCATAAATTCCGAGTAAAAATTGATCCAATTAAAATTACAAAGATCAAAATGACAAAATAATCAAAATCTAGGGACCCTCATTGTATAGGAATTCCACATCACCATAATTTTTTCATAAAAAAATAAAAGAAGGGAACAGTGAATGAAAAAAAAAATTATATATAAATCTCACCACAAATTTTTAATCCAACCTAAACTATATGTAATAAAAAGTGACATGAAGTATACCTAAGGATACCTTTTATGCCGAGTATTCGTAAACTAATACAAGTTGAGTATTCCTTTTATGCTGGAGATAGAGCAAGCCTCGTAACAATACCTAAGTAGAATCTACAATGAGAAACATGCATGCTGATTTCTTTTGTCACTAACAATTTTAATTTTTTAAAATCTTGTATTAGTCCACTAATTTTTTGATTCAAAGTTGCAAAAGCGTTATTATATGGGCTTTATTATATTTAAAAACTTTTTTCAATCTATTAGTCAAATAATTCTTTTCGTGTGAGTGAAACATTGGTCATATCACAATCATCTTTTTCTTTGGTAAAAGCCTATATTCTATTTTTCTTTAGTAAAATGCATAAAAATGGCCATTTTTGTACATGAACAATATTTCAATTATACGGTTCTCAAAATGGTGAGTCACTCTGATGCATACAAAGCAGCATCAGAGAAGAAACCAAATTCCCTCGAAATCCTCTGCAACTTCTGGAGAGAAAATGAAGGCACGACACCGATAGTAGACCAACGTGGCAACACGATCCTCCATTTCCTTGCCATCCATGGCAACATTGCTGCCATTAAAATGCTTGACAAGCATGGTTTACTTACCACTGAACAGCTTAAGAAATGTAATGCAAATGGCGAAATTGCTTTGCATGAAGCTGCGCGGTTTGGTCACAAGGATGTGGCAGAAACAATGCTGGTGAAGGAAAGAGATTTGATCAATGCGCGCAATGAGTTGGGCCATTTATGTTGCTGCTGCATCTGGGAATAGGGATGTTTTTTATTTTTTTTCAAAAATAAGTGACGATGAGTGGTTGATGGGATCGAGGGCAAGAAATGGTTGCACTGTTCTTCATGCTGCTGTGAAAGGAGAATATTATCGTATGTTAATTTCTGTATCCATTTTTTCATTCTTTAACTTCAGTTCGAAGTCATAAGGTTAGTACACAATCTTTATATATACTTGGGATCGTGATACCCCGAATTATTTTAGGACGTTTAGGCCAAAAATCTAATTTTAAACTTTGTTTAGTGACAGGTCTAAGCACTGAATTAACTTATTCATAAGGACAACTTCAAGTTAAATGACTTAAATTCTCTCTCTCTATATATATCTTTGTTTGAGTAGTTGGTTTTGAAGTTTTTTTTTGGTTAAAATAGTCATAAAAAATAAAATAAGATTTTTAATCCAATAAGATAAAATATCACATCTAACTTATAATCATTACATTTTTTGGATGAGGAATACCTTGAGACGGTGACAGAGAGAGAGAAAATCGATGGCAGAAGAAGCGGGGACCGAGGATGAATCGCCATTAGAGGAAGCTGAAGCGGAGTGTGGTGGTGATGATGAGGATGAAGAAGGAGGCTCGGTGGCCATTCGAAAAACCCTAGAAGGGTTGGATGAGGAAGTTCGAGCTCTGAAAAACTTGAATCGAATGAGTTCAGTCGAAGCGAGTGAAGGTACCAAGAAGGATTTACAGAACACTCGACTCCCATTTGAAATCAAGAAGAAGAGAGGGAGAAGGGTTAGGTGGGAGGCAGACCTGTGAGACACAGAAGAAGAGGAGCGTTTGATACACTTGGGTAGAAATGAGAGGAGTGTTTGAGAGACAACCGTTAGATGCTAATCAGGAAAGATCTCAACCATTGATACAAATGTATCTCTCATACATTTTTACACATTTTCAAAAACCTTCCTCCCTTATTATATAGATATATATATTATATACATTGCAAAAAAATCTAAACCGGTCCTCTATTCACTCTCTTTCCTCTCTCTCTTTCTCTCCGCCTTCGACACCGTCGCCTCCTCCAACGGGGTCGACGAGTGCTGTCGCGACTCCATTGTCGATCTCCACAACCCTGCCCACCTCTACCTCCTATTTCTCTCTCTCTTCCTCTCGCCGCCACAACACCACAGCAGATCACCACCATGTACGGCGCAATCGAGTCGCCACCTCACCGAACTCCCGGTCCCTACAGACTGGATCAACTCGGACAATTTTGAGCTCGCTTCTAGGGTTTTCAGCCTCCTCTCTCCAAATGGTGTCTTGATGTCTTTGATTTCGACTATCGATCATTTTTCCTTGATGAAGTACGTGTTTCTAATTGAGCAATTGCCTGAGTGGGTTAAGTTTTTGCTTCAGAACGAGCGAGACTCCCATCGTCACCACGACAGAGCTACGGATCTAGATTTCTTCATTAGCATCATTGATATATATAGATATAGATATACATTTTTGTTTGATGTCTCGCTATCTCTCTCTCTAGATTTGAGTTTTGTAGTAGTTGTTGTTGTTATTGTTAATGTTGAAAATGATGATGGAACTTAGTAATAGAGTAGGCTTTTTTTTTCTTTTTTTTTCTTCCTTCTACTTTGTTCTTCTTTTTATGGATAAAGTGAGAAAGATCATATATAAAATAAAATAAAAACAAGATCTGATTTGATCTTATTTAATTTCCTTCCACTTTGTTCTTCTTCTTATGAAGAGAGTGAAAAAAATTAGATCTGTTACAATAGATATAAAATGCTATTTTTATACCTATTTGCTAAAATTGCTATTTTAATAGATAAAAAAAAAAAATTGAATAGATAGGTAAAAATTCAGGAGATTAGGTGGGTAATAAATAGCAAAATTTTAAACAGATAAGTGGAAAAAATTTGAACAAATTAAAAAAAATTTTGAACAGATAAATATAAATTTGAATAGATAGTCAACGAAAAGTCAACAGATAAATTAAGAGGTAACATTAGAAATAAAATATATGCCAAGATTTCTTACCAAACTATTTTAGAAAATGTAGACCTCTCACCCAAAAACAAAAAAATAAAAAATAAAAAGACCTAATGCCTTAGATAATTGCTAAAGTGATTTTTTTACCAATTTTTCTCATTATTTTAACATTATCTAACAATTAATACTCCTTCCGTCTTAAAATATTAGTCCCTTATTCCATTTTTTATTGTCTCAAAATATTAGTTCCTCTTCAAAAATCAAGTACAAAAATAATATAAATTTCTTATTTTGCCCTCCTTTTAAATTAATAAACAATATAAAAAGTGCAATTATGACATTAATATTCCCAAAAAATGTACTATCAAAAGGGTAATTTTGGAAAATTAACTTTTTTCAAATGCAATAATTGTACTATCAAAAAAAGTTAGATTCTCCAAAAGGGACCATTATTTTGAGACGGAGGGAGTATATATATATACAATTTAAATTTCAAAAATGTTTCGTAATTCAAATTTCTATAACTTGAATGACTCGAATATCTTATTTTAAGACATTCAAATTATTCAAATTACAAAAATTTAAATTACCAAACATTGTTGTTTAGAATTTGAATTGTTCCAATTGTTTTGATGTGTCTACCGAAAATTTGGGTTTTGAAATTTCTAGAATGAATCAAATTTTCTGTTTTAAGACATTCGAATTATTCAAATCATAAAAATTCAAATTACCAACCATTGTTGTTTAAAATTTGAATTGTTCCAATTGTTTTGATGTGTCTACCGAAAATTTGGGTTTTGAAATTTCTACCCACGAGTCACACAAAGAAAGGGTGATTTACAGACTGTCCTATTGATTAGACTTGGGACTAATTTAAAAAGATGGTTGAAAGTTAAAAATTAATTTTTAACATATTTTAAATCATATCTTCCTCTTATCTTTTTACACGTTTTTTCAAAAAAAAAAATAATAATAATAATAATAATAATAATAATAATAATTAAAAATTAAACTTTTAACCATCTTCTCAAATTAGGCCATCGTATCTAATTAATTAATTAGTTAGGCCATCGTATCTAATTAATTAATTAGTCCTGTTCTAAATTAATAGATTTCTAAATTAATAGATCACGTTTCTAGTTTATCCTTACAATCCAACTCGCCAATCCATAATTATGACAAACTCACCACTTTTTAATCGATTTTCAAAACGTGACCATATAGAAACATCAAGACGAAGACGGTCAGGATTTTACAGTAACTTCTCCTCCTTCCCCTTTGATTGATTTTCTGTTTGGTGTTCCTCAATGGGATTAACCCTTAGAAAGCAAACTACATCTTGAACGATCTGTCATCATCTTGTCGGCAATTTGAGAAAATAAGACGATTTTTTTTTTTTTTTTAGGGGTATCAGGATTACAATGCTGGTTGTTTGAGCATTTGTTTGAGTAGTGCTTGGAATGTGTTCGATGAAATGTACAAGTGAAGAATTTGATCAAATGTAGGTCTTTGGTTAAATGACAATATGGTGAGAGTTTTTAAAGTAAAACCCAATGCTTTTGTTTATGCCTCACTAATAAAAAAGGGCTATGTAATGTGAATGATATGAGTTTGGTTGTTAAGCTTAAAGATGAGATGTTGGAACCTATAATTAGTGCACTTTTCAAGGTCAGTTGCAAGGAAGATGTTATTGGATCTTTAGAGGAAATGCTAGAAAAAGGGCATAATCCTGATAGTATAGTTACTTTATTATGCAATGATATATGGGTTTTGCCAGGATAAGGATTTTGATACAACATATGCTGTTTAAAGTGAGATGACAGAGAAGAGGTGTAAATCAGATGTTATTAGACTTAGTTATAATGTAATTACCGGAGTATTTTGCCGCGGAGAGAAAATTGATGGAAACAAATGAATAATTTGGAGACAAGCCAAGCCAAAATTGTGCTTCTGATGTGATTAAATTGTTGGACATTATTTGATGGGCTATGTGAGTTCAGGGAAGTTGCATTTATTTTGGATGAGATGGTTTTCAGAGGTTATGCCATTATTCTGCAAGTATAATAAAATTTGTTGATGAGTTGTGTTGAGGTGGTAATCTGAAGTTACGTACAGTTCTAAGTAGTTCTGTAGAAGGAAATTTAATTGATGTAGTAGAGTGCTGGTTCCCATGGCATACAATACAAGAACAATAAGCTTTTAAATGCCTTTTAGCTTGTAGAAACCTTGCCAATGCCGTAAGTGATGCTCTTCCAATCAGGTAAGGTAATCAATACCAACATGCTTTCGTATAGTTCATTACTTCTTGTGGAGTGACTTTCAGTCTTAATTTTCATGATCAATCCTAGATATGTTTCATCATTCCTATCAATTTTCCACTCTGCTTGTATTTATTTAGGCATTGTAGATGTTTAAAGAAGGGGCTGAAATTCTAGTCTACCATTCCTTTTGAGACTTACAGGGGAGTATAGACCTAACAAGCGATGGTAATAGTAATAAAAAATAAAAATAAAAAAATGTTCCTTATGCGTGTTCAGAATTTGAAACGTGTAGATTAGATTCATTATGCGTGTATCTCACACCATACCAAATTTAAATCTACACTATGGATTTAAATTTTGGACATTTTTCTGAATATTTTATTTGAGTACATAACATTTTTTATGCATATTATTGTTGCTTTACACTTAGGTCACATTACGAGCAACCTGTGTATAAAATCTAATTAAAAGTCTTTTAATTGGGTTTATTGAACATGTAGCATATATGACAAGGCCTGCATAATGTGACTACTATCTTGGTCGTTTTCTGTGGAGTAAAGTCCACCCCATTTTTAGAACAAGCTAACGATTTTTATTTTGATATGAATTTTGTGAACCAGGTTTGGCTGTGAGCATATTGGAATCATTCCCTAAACTTGCTGGCAAACATGACGAAAAGGGTATAACAGCTTTAGATCTGTTGGCCTCAAAACCATTGTCCTTTAGAAGTGGATCTTCATATACGCTTAAAAATCTAGGCTCCATGCCTTTCATTCCCGTCCAGATTTTGGGAGTTTTGGTCTATAGTTGTAAGTCCCATGCAGTATGAACTATGAACAATAGGATCTCTATTGCTTCCCAGTTTCTTTCTTGCAATTTTATAATAAAACTTAGGCTAAATTACACTTATCACTCTTGAGGTTTGGAGAAAATTTAATAGCTCTATTTGGTTTCGTTTTCAAAATCTATTTTCTGAAAATTTCAAATAAATAAAAAATAAAAAATAGTTAAACTAGTTTGGTGAAAAAATGAAAAACACTCATTTTAATTTTTTTTTTTTTTTTTGGGGGGGACAAAAAATATCTTTTGGTATTTGTTTTCATCAAACTAGTTTTTATGTTTTTGAAAAAGAAATTCAGAAAACAGACTTTGAAAACCAAACCTAACAGAGTAAGTCTTACAATTTCAACATAATAATATTATTACTAACCTCCTCTACAATAACAGAAAGGTTAACTGATTATGAAGGATGTAAAATTACACTTTTAGCCTTCTGCAAAAGTTAACCTCCTCTAAAGTTATGATATTTGTTTTTGTTTTTTTTTTTTTGGGTTCAGAAAATTATAATGTTGTTCAAGTTTTACTAACATAGTTACGGACTTGGAAAGAATTAAGCAACGAACAAGTGCATTGTCATAGAAATATGGTCTGCATAAGTTTAATGAAATCATCAACTGAAAATCCAATCAGATCATAATGAAATGATTTCACCTAGAAGTGATCCATACTGTAATGAATTCCACCAATTTCCCACCTTTCGGCTCAATGTCTTTGAAAATATACATGTGTTCTTATTTATTTTATTTGTTGTATATAATTACTAGTGCATGCCCGTGCCTAAAGGCACGGTGCAAATAATGATGAGATCAAAATGTAATTAAATATAAAATTATTGGGTTAAAAAATAATTTATCTCATTTGTTGCTAAAAATTTAAAGTCAAAATATGAATGAAGGTCTGGTTAGTTTTGAAAAGTTTTTTATTAAAAAAACTTGAAAATATTTTTGGTTGTATATTTTGAAAATAAATATTTCCCAATCAACTATTTAAAGTACGGAAAGTAACGCAATCATAAACATTTCATTTTTATTAAAAAAATTTTATGACTCTAAAATATAAACTTCATATCAATGCAAACATTCACTACAAGAAAAAACACTTTTGGCGACTAAATTTTTAGTCGCCAAAAGTCTTCTTTTAGTCGCCAAATGTAGGATTTTCACTTTTCCCGACTAAATATTTTAGTCGCCGTTGTGGTCGCCAATACATGGTCGGCAATACCTTTGGCGACTAAAGATTAGTTAGTCGGCAATATACAGGTCTTCAGCGACTAAAATTTTAGTCGCCAATAGTCGATTCCATTTGTGAAATTAGACATTTAGCGACTAAAGTTTTAGTCGCCAATAGTGTTTTTCATTTGTGAAATTAGACATTTAGCGACTAAAGTTTTAGTCGCCAATAGTCGATTCCATTTGTGAAATTAGACATTTAGCGACTAAAGTTTTAGTCGCCAATAGTCGATTCCATTTGTGAAATTAGACATTTAGCGACTAAAGTTTTAGTCGCCAATCAGATCATAATGAAATGATTTCACCCAGAAGTGATCCTTACTGTAATGAATTCCACCAATTTCCCACCTTTTGGCTCAATGTCTTTGAAAATATACATGTGTTCTTATTTATTTTATTTGTTGTATATATATACTTAAATTATTTCTGCTAATCGTGAAACAGAAGTCTAATGGGCTACTTCTAAACACTTATGTTCTGAATCTCAACACTATGATTCTAGAGATGGTTACTTTAGTAACCGGTTCAGAATTTCAAATTGATTACAACAATTATTAAAATTTTGAATTGAAAGAACATCTCTGATGACTTTATTTGTTTTTGTTGTTGAGCAGGTATTCCATCCATGGTTATTGATTCGGAAATTGTTGGTGATGAGGAGGACCCACGTGGTAGTGCACATGATACCTCCAAATCAGAAGGGACTTTGTTATCCAAATTAATGTCAGGTATTATTTTATTTTTATGCAGTAAATTTCATAGAGAAAAAATAATGCAGATGTAATTTTTTTCTGCACATAAGTCCCCTCACCCCAAAAAGAAAAATGAAAAAAACTAATTCTTTTGAATGTGTGTATGGTGGATTTGACCCGTGCAAGTTAAGTATTCAATAATTGTATTGAGTACAAATATCTTTACTTTAAAAAAAAAGGGTAAAAAGTCAACTTTCCCTTTCATCTTATTGATTATTCTACACTGGTATTTTGTTACAGGGTACAAAAGGATCATCAGAGGTTTGTTCCTCTAACTCTTCAACTATGAGTTGTTTGCAGTTTTTGGAATACAGTTAAATCTGAAATTTTTGGGTGCTTCATAAGTCACTTGTACACACAAAAATTCAAGATTCATGCGATTCACTTTGAAATTAAGGCTGTGGTTCTATTATTACAGGAAAGAGTTACAAACAAAATATAAAGATGGTATAGTATTAGAATTATGGCCACAAGTGCAAAAATATCAAAATATCTTTACTCCAAAATTCAGATAGTCTTCAGTACTCAAGATTTACGCTACTCAACAACATGAACCATTGCCAACTTTGCTTTTTGTTATTTCTTCTTTGTCATCGGTCCCAACTGGAAATTGAAGAAAATTCACGAGAAAATTGATAGCTTGCCTAGATTATCACTGTACTAAATATGAAGTATAGTGTTGTCCTCTTTAATGCTTCTGACTTTTGTTTGTTGTCTTCTTTTTTTTCATGAAGTTTGTCCTTGGATTAAACGAATTGATGATGCAAGGCAAAAGCATGTGTTTGCAAGAGAGCTGGTAAAAAGACTGATAGAAGAAGAAAATGGTTGGAGCAATTACCTACATTGCAAAAATTTTCATGTTTCTGGATTGGGCTGCTTTGGAGAAACTCCGTCACAAAATAAGAAGAATAGAATGAAAGACCCACTTATCCTAGTGACAAAACACGGCATCCATGAGATGGTAGAGGAAATCCTTGAAAAATTCCCTAATGTTGCAACTACATTTGATGAGAATGGAAGAAACATACTGCATATTGCAGCACAGTTGAGAGATACAATTCTCTATGACTACTTGAAGAAGACTGTTAATCACGCATATAAAAAAGACTGATAGAAGAAGAAAATGGTTGGAGTGATTACCTAAATTGCGAAAATTTTCATGTTTCTGGATTGGGCTGCTTTGGAGAAACTCCGTCACAAAATAAGAAGAATAGAATGAAAGACCCACTTATCCTAGCGACAAAACACGGCATCCATGAGATGGTAGAGGAAATCCTTGAAAAATTCCCTAATGTTGCAACTACATTTGATGAGAATGGAAGAAACATACTGCATATTGCAGCATAGTTGAGAGATAGAATTCTCTATGACTACTTGAAGAAGACTGTTAATCACGCATATAGGATGATGGCCGATGTTGATAAGCATGGGAACACCATCTTGCATCTTACAGCCTATGAGTGCAAGCAGGGTCATTTTCTCACAACTCATTTTGGACCTATAAACCGAATGTCGTGAAATATGTTTTGGTTTGAGGTACATATGAAATCACATGTGTACATGGGAGTAGTTGGTAAAAAAATTAGTAAATCAATTCCCTTATAAAATTGTCTTCTCACTCGATATTTTTGAATTTCTACAGCGTGTACAGAATGACTCTCATCCACATTTGATATATCATTGAAACATTGAGGGCAAGACACCAAAAGAAATATTTGAGGAACAGCACAAGGACATGATAGACAAAGCTGAGAAAGCAGTCAAAGATATTAATAGCTGCTTGATGCTTGTTTCTACTCTAATTGGCACGGTCAATTATGCAGCACTTTTTACTATCCCTGGTGGTTTCGATCAAGGCAAGGGCCTGCCAATTTTTTTCACAAAAGCAATAAATGGACGAGAGGATCTGCAGTTGTTCATGGCTTATGTAGGAGGAAGTCTGGTTGCTTCTTTATTGGGTTTGGGAACTCAGCTTTCAATACAAGTGTCACGGTTCAATAGCAATGATTTTCACATTTCATTGCCTATGAAATTTCTTTATACAATCACGTCCTTGTTCTATGCTGCAGGCTTCTCAATCACAGCATGCTTCCAAATCTTCATCATCGAGGGTGCCTTCATAAATTCATATTTTGCGGTGATGGTGGTTGCCAGTATATTTATGACCCTTGTTTACATGGACGCATTATACTTGACCTATGATTACTTGTACTACATAATTCATTATTCGCTTGCTTATAGAGGCCCAAAAATGTAAGTCTGCAGCTGGCTTGGTACTTGTTTTCAGATCATGTTTGCATTTGTGTGCAATTTAAGTGTGACTATACATGTGAGACAGATATATGTGTTCGAAAAGGACTGTTGAAGGAGAGTTTCTCAAGTATTGCTAAGACATGCTATGAATACAGTAAATTATCCTGTATTCAAATAATGCACTGCTATAGATCTTGTTGGGATGCTTTAGATGTGGAATGTGTATGGTTCACAAGCTCTAGTTTGTCATAAATGGTAATGGTTTTTATTCATTTTTATTTATATTAATTTTTTAATTGTCGAACCGCCTTTGGCAGGTTGGTTTCATCAGTCACGGACAAACCATGAAACTGTAAATTTGATGGGTCGTTTGAATTTCTTTGGCAGTTTTGAATCAGCAGATTGAGCGGATTTAGGTGGGTTACAACATCTCTAACGGCTGTCTCTGTACCTAGTTTGGTATTTTCTTTTTGAGTCAGTGGTTGTTGTATTGAATTTTGTGTGTTGTGCAACTAATAAGTGTGTGACTATATTCCATTATACTAATTCAATGTTATATATATTTCTTTACACGAATACCTTTTAACTTAGATTAACAAAATTTCAGCACTTTTGTTTATGTAAAGTCAATTAAATAAGGCTTTAGAAACAACATTTATCAATAGTACAACACTCCTAGTCTGTTGTTTGGTTGTGTTTTTATTTTCAGTTTTTTGTTTTTCAACAATACAGAAGAGGAACAAAAATAAAAAAGGGTTTGCCTTCTTCACAACCCAAAAACATTCATACTTAGCATCCTATTATGAACTCAAGAAAGCAGAGTTGAAATGTCCTCGAAGAAAAAGCGTGGTTCCAATGGATCATCTGCTAATCCTTGGAGAAACTGTGGAATCGGAGGCATACCAACCTCTAAAACTCCCTCTAGAATTTGGACTACCTGTCCCATACTTGGCCTATCCTTCTCATCATCTTGAATGCACCAACAAGCAACTTTGCAAGCTCTAATCACCTCTTCAGCATCACCATTGCCTTGCAACCTGTAATCCAAAAAGCTCATGACTAATTCCTCGCTTTCCTTCATTTTCGTTACCACTAAATATGGAAAGTACCAATCCATGTCATCATCTACTATGTCACTGTTTCTCCTTCCTGATATAATCTCAAATAACAGCATTCCATAGCTAAAAACATCGGCTTTTGGCGTGATTGCTTCACCTGATATCCATTCTGGTGCAAGATAGCCTCGTGTTCCTCTCATTGTTGTCAAAACCCGACTAATCTCTCTCCCAACAAGCTTAGCAAGCCCGAAATCAGCCACTTTTGGGTTGTATTCAGCATCCAGTAAAATGTTTTCGGGCTTAATATCACAATGTATGATGCAATCTCTGCATTTCTCATGGAGGTAAGTCAATCCTCTAGCAGTCCCAACTGAGATGTTGTACCTTGTTTTCCAGTCTAAGACATTAATGTTGTCTTTTTTAAACAAGTGAGACTCTAGAGAACCATTGGACATATAATCATAAACTAGAAATCTTTTTGTACCTTGTATGCAGAAACCCCGAAGGCGAACAAGGTTGATGTGTTGGATCATCCCAATGGTGCTCACTTCTGCGCGAAACTGCTTCTCTCCTTGCTTCAAACTTTTTAGCATTTTTACTGCTACCGCGATTGAATTGGGCAGTGTTCCTTTGAAAACTGTACCAAAGCCACCTTCTCCAAGCTTTTCTGAGAAGTTCTTCGTTGCAATTCGTATGTCACGATACTTGAACACCGCCAAAGAATCATCAACTTTCTCCAAAGTACCAGCAGTGTCTCTCTGTCTCTTCCTCCAGAGGACTACCAAGACACTGCCAAAGAAACAGAAGAAACCACAAATTGCTCCAAAAACAATCAAAGAAGTGTTTCTCTTCGCCTTAGCCTTAGCTTCGGTTCCAACCAGCTGGGATGCTGCTACTCTAACATGAAGATCTCTTCCACTTTTATCATCTGATGAGAGTTGTTGTAGATTGAACAAACCACCTCCCCAAATCAAACACCTATTATCATAAGCATAAGCACTGCATGAACAATTTCTCAAGCAAGCTAATTCACATTCATCAATGTTCTCAACTGTTATCAACTCTGAATTCACAGGAAAACCGGTGTTTGGCACCACAGAAAATTTGTCATTTCCTCTGTTTTCACACTGTAGAGGAATTTTCCTCACACACCCACCTGAGTGATCCCCCAATTCCCAATCTGCTTGAGTCCTCGGATCAAATCCTTCAATGCAAGTGCAAATCGGTACATTTTGGTTACAACTACTAAATACACCACAAAAAGCATAGACTGTGCATTGTTGCGGTGGTTTGATCCAGAATGTACTCCACTGCGGGAAGTCCTTTCCCCAAACAAATTGTTTGAGTTGTCCCGTCACATCGAGCACAAATCTAGTGAGAGCAGTAGGGTTACCGGCATCATATGTGAAATAGCTCTCATTTGTATTGTTAACATATGTGACATTTTTTATGTAATAGTCCAATTCTATCTCAGGAACAAGGCTAAAAACTTTCCCACTCCATATCCCACTAGTCCAATACAAGTTAGACACATTCCAAAGCAAAATATGACTTGAATTTGGCTCCACCTCCAGAGAGAACAGACTTGGTGATGGATTTTCTGAATTTCTCCAAGAAGTAAGAGCTTGTTTTTCATTTTTGAGTTTATTGTATCCAACTTTCCCACCGGGAAGCCACGTGTCAGTTGGGTAGTCGAAACTCTGCCATATCACATTAGAGGAATCCAATTTATCTCTAACAATGAAATTTCCATTGTCAAGAAGCATGGCTATGGTTGAGTTAGCCAATTTTGAAATCGAATTTGTCGACCAAATTTGATTCTTGGACTGGTCTAGTAGGACTAAATTTCCGTCTTGTGACAGTTTTAATTGTGGCGAAGATAGATTTGAAATGGGTTGGACTCTGTTTGCTACCCAAACTACTGTTTTGTTTGGTAGCTTTTTGTACCATATGCCTATGTAGTAGTTTTGAGAGTTACCTGGCGTGAAGAAGCCCAGTTCGAAGACTCCACTTTGAGAGGTTATTGTTTGGTTCCCAGAGAGAAACTGTCCAGCATAGATGGTATTGGTGTCATCTGATCCTTTTGAGAGATGGGTATTGAAGGATAGAATGAGTAAGGGCACAACACAAAGAAAGAGCCATTGAATTTTGAATGTGAGACTCATTTTTCACATAGGATTGCACCGAAGGCTTGGATGTGATCGATGTATTAAAAGAACAAGCACATATATGTATCTATATATTTAAAAGTTTTGTTCAATACTTGAGTTTCTTCAAATTAAGTTGGTTGGTCATTTTTTGACTTTGGAAGTCAACTGAGTTTGAGGAAGAAGAGAAGAAATAGCATTACAGGCCACAGGAGAAATGACATATATTTTTTGATTTTTTTTTTTTTTACATTTTTTTTAGAAAATATGAACCATATTCATATTCCTTATAGATGAATAAATGTGCTCTTTGCTAAGTAATCTTTGGTGAAAAAAGGTCCGACTTCAACACTTTCAGAAGCAAGCCGATCATGTGATGATTGAACGAACATTGTGACACAGCAATTAATAATTTAACTTTTTATTTTTATTTTTATTATTTCATAGCATAAAATCGAATTACATCCTCTTCACAAAATCAATCTTATAAGCTTTGACTTGTGAGGAGATTTGTCTTTTTTAAAAGTACTAATAATAATGCTAATTGTCTTAGGCTCCGCTTGATTAGAAAAAATAAATAAATTATGAAAAGTGAAAATGGTAAAAAGTAAAGTGAAAGAAAAGAAAAGAAAAATAAAAAGAAAATATCTTTTCTCGTATGAATTTGATTGGAATTAAAATTTTGTAAGAAAATAGGAATACTAATTATAAGTAATTACTTTCATAACAAATTTAATTTTTTTTGTATTTTCTTGTATTTTTTGCAAGAAACTGGAATATTAGTTGCCATTCTATTATGAGTTGTATACAAAAATTAATTTTCTTATAACTTCTACAACTTTCATGCTAAACAAATTTAGAAAATTTTTAATTTTTTTTTTTCATTTCTTTAACTTTCTACTAGTTTTCTCCTAACCAAACTGAGCCTTGTTGTTAGCCTGCATGACAAGAAAGAATTCAGTATTTGCGGCCATTTTGGATTTTATCATTCTGACTCTGAATACATGCTGTGGAAGATATTTGTTTGCATGTTTATTGATGTTTCATTGCTACAAACCAATTGTTTGAAGATTTTCAAGCCTTGTCTATTATGTGTTTTAATTGCACAAGTTGGCTACATGGTTGCAACATGTGGGCCCAGTTGTTGAGAATGAAATCATGAAAGTGTAAGAGCTCATATACGATACGTGTATATATATATATATATATATATATAATTTAGTAATAAAGAAAATGAACAGAAGTTATTTTTGAAATTATGAATATATAAATCAATCTTTCAATAGCAATTTCTTTTTATTTATAATTATCAAACTGTTAAAGGCAATTTTTTTGAGGAAGAAAAAAATTGTGTCAAAAAAAAAATACCACCAATTCAAGAATTGATTTTGTATGATAAAATAAATGAGTGTACATAGATCGGAGCAGGCAAGTTTTGAAAAAAATTATCAACTCAGCCGTCCCTAATGAGTTGGTTAATTTCTCACCTGTCCTTGAACCACACATCTCAAAACTGTGTACATAAATTGAACAATTTGTCGGTTTCAAATTAGCAATTTGAACCGGTGGGTTACAGATAATTGATAAAAAAGTATGGACACGTACTACTTTAAAAATATCTAATATTTTTTGTTATAGAGAAGTACTGAAATGTTAGTGCTTTACCCAGGTTAAATTACCCTTTGAAAAATATGATGAGAATGATCAGTTCTACCTTAAGTTTTGACTCTTGAAAAGAACTTATTTTTTGATTTTTTTTTTCAAAAATTAAAAAATTAATTTGATAAAACGAAAAACCAAAAGTGTTATTTTAGATTTTCAAAATTTGCTTTCACCCCAGAATAGAGAAAAATCATATGAATATATATATATATATATATTTCAACAAACTAGACTCTGTAGTAAATAAATAAATAAAAAAAAAATAGAAACTAGATTTGAAAACACAACTAAACATGCTGTCAAATTGAAATTCTAGAGGACTTCATTTGGATCTTAGATTTATAGAGAGATTTGTTGATGGATAAGAAAAAGAAAAGATCAAAAAAAAAAAAAGTTCCTCAAAGTTAATTTGTTTTTTTTTTTTCTATTTATAAATTTAAGAATTAAACACAAATTAAAAATGAAATTAGATAGTGAAGATATTAGACTATTTAATTTTTTTTTTCTGATACTGCATTTTTTTCTATAAGGGCATCTCTAACGGTTCATCTTTTTTTATTTTCATCAAATTTGAGTAAAACATTCCTTTGATATCAAGTGCTTCAATGGGCTTCATCAAACACCCAGTCGACCTGGCAGATGATCGGGCGGATGTTTGGCTGGTCGATCGACTAGTGTAAATTTTTCACAAATTTTTTACTTGAGATGGTCATCTGGAACGAAAATGAATAGTGATTGATGAAAGGCACATCCATCTTCCTCAGTTTGATGAAAGATTTGAGAAATTCTGGATTTGATGAACCGTTGAAGCAACAAAAAGTAAATATTTTTATCAAATTTAAATTTGATGATTTATTTGATGAATCGTTGGAAATGGTCTAAAGAATAATAGATTCATAAATGAATGTGTGGAAAATTACCTGGACGGATTGGAAATTTCAATCGGTTTTGGTTTGTGTTTCCCATAACTGACGCTATATTTAGATCTGAAATTTGTTGATAAAAAAAAATGAAAAAGAAAAAAATGTATATAAGAAAGGAAAAAACTTACTTTGTCTACTCAAATTTATTATATTTGTGGCACTGCACTTGTGAACTACCAATTTGAGCAATTAAAACTTTTAAATTATTGATATTAATTCAGTTTAATTAAGGATTGGATTTCTTTCAAATTTAAAAATGAATTTGATCGTCATATATAGGCTTGTAAAATTTACTGCGAGTCTCGTTTCAATAAATCCAAGCTATTTATTTTGTAAGACCTTCTATGTATATCATTCATAAAAAAAATTAAGTCGATCTAGTTATCATAATATTTTCATTTTATTGTATTTCTCCGAAAAAAAAAATGAATGAAAATATTTTTTTTAAATAGATAATTCATTTCTTCCAGACACAATAAAATGAAAAAATTATGATTGTTGGATCGATCTAATTTTTTTCATGGATTATATATATATAAAGCCTTATAAAATGAACAGTTCAAATTATCAAAATAGAACCAATGGTGACCTCACTTGTCTGAACATGATGGTCAATTTGATACTTGAATTTCAAAGAAGTCCAACCCATTAATCAACCAAGTTGATTTTTTTCTATTTTTATTTTTTAACATCATGCATGCGGTGAATAATGTTACATGCACCAATTAATATACTAATTAATGTATTAATGGATGATATGACATAGTTTCAAAGACTTTGAATTTTTGTTGTTTGTATAATAGGTGGGATCATAGTATTAAAGTAATAATGCCATAGTATATATTGATATACTAATTGATATATCAATTGGTATATGTAACGCACCACATGCCAGTAGACAAATATTTGTGTATGTGCTTTGTTTAATTGGGAAATATCTGAAGAGAGTGGTTTACATTGAAGTTTTAAGTTTTGCAGTGGAGGATTACCTTTAACACAGTTCATAGCACCAGCGTGAAAGCAAGAAATCTTCTTCTGAAGAATTATAATTGCAGGGGGGCAATGGAAAATCAATGAGTGGTCTGCATTCCACTTTGGACTTTGTAGTCAACCTCATCAAGGCAAAAGCAAATATCTTATTTGCGAAGTCAAAATGTAATTTAGATGAATTTGACTTATGAGATCTTATTATTGGAGTTTTAAGTAATTTTAAGTATCTAATATATCACCAAGATAATTGAGTATTCGGGTTAATTTGTGCGCACTTTAACTTGCCTAATTTTAGGATCTAAAGTTGATGATCAGACAAATCTCTAATAATCCCTTAAGATGACTCAAACCTCAAATTTTATTTTTAAATCTTTATTGTTACTTGAATGTTTCACCAGCACACATTGGAATAATCTCACCAGATGTATGGGAGAATGATTCTGGCAGACTCAAACCTTAAATTTTATTCTTAAATCTTTATAGCTAAGCCACTTGGATATTTCACCAGAACACCTTGGAATAATCTTACCAGATGCATAGCGGAATGATTTTGGCACGTTTCATGGACTCTTGATCAATTTGATTTTCTATGCGTTTCTTGGAAGCCCATACAAGTCTGGACCGTTAAAGCCTAGCTTATGAAGTGCACCAACCTAGCATCAAGAAGGAAAAAACAATAAAATAAAAAATAGGTGCTTTTTTTTTTTCCTCTCTTTCTTTCTTTCCTTCTTTTTCCTTTCTGATTATTAACTTTTTAACTTTATTATGCACAAACAAACCTATTAACCTGCAATACTTATAGTCGTAGACATGCATTGAATAATTAGAGAAATTTTAAGTGCATCAACAACAATTAAAGAACCGGACATAAACCCCAGAAGAACTGTAATGATAATAGCTGTTATTGACTTTTAACTCTCTCTTCAATTTCTCCACAGCATATAGAGAATGACTCTCATCCCCATCTTTTACATCATCCAAACAACAGCGGGAAGACAACAATAGAAGTATTCAAGGAAAAGCACGGCGCGGTGAGAAAAGAAACCGAGAAACCAGCCAAAGACATGATGGCTGGATGCTTATTACCACTCTCATTGGCACTCTCAACTACCCAGCACTTTTAAATATTCCCGGTGGTTTTGACCAAACTAATGGCCTGCCTTTTTTTTTTTTCTCCACACGAGCAAGCTCCGGAGAGAGTGATCTAAGCTTGTTCCTGTTGTACGTAGGAGGAAGCCTATACGTTCTTTACTGGAGTTGGGAACTCAACTTTCAATTCCATTGTTACGATTTGGTAACAGCGAATTTCTCATTTCATATCAGGACATGTTAACAAGCATATATTCTTGAGAATGCATTTGTGAAACCATTTTGGGGGGGCTATGTGGATTCTCTGTGTTCTTATATGGGCCTTGTTTACATAGACATATTACTCCCAATCTTCAATCACATTTACAATGTTATTCGTTATTCATTCACTAATAGAAGCAAAAA